CGGGCCTGCCCCTCTACAGGAGGAACATTCAAAAATAACTCAAAAATAGTATGGGGACGTTTTTTTCCGAGTATTTTTGTTCATTTTTGGGCAGTTCTTCCCCAGTCAGAGCTTGCCTCTGTAGGGGTCCTAGCGGACTCATATGGTTAAGTTAGGTTTGTTGCCGATTTTCGCTGCACGCCCGGGAGCAAGGGTGCCCAGGGGTGCCCGGGGCCCGGGTGCTCGGGGGGTGCCCGGGGGTGCCCGGGTGCCCGGGTGCCCGGGTGCCCGGGCGTGCCCGGGGTGCCCAGGGGTGCCCGGGGGTGCCCTATAGCCCTATAGCCCTAAGCCCTATAGCCCTATAGCCCAATAACCCAATAGCCCTATAGCCCTACAACGTTATAGCCCTGAAGCTCTGTAGCCCTATAGCTCAATAGCCCTATAGCCCTATAGCCCCCTAGCCCTATAGCCCTGATTTGTTTTTTCTCTGGTATCATTGACTATTTTGAATTTTTCGCCCAAAATCACCATGTAGGGGGACAGGCCCGACCTAAGGGTAGGGGGAAGGGGGAAGGCTTCTTAGAAGCAGCCCTGCTTCTTGGAACGGCTGGGCCTTCCAGCTGTAGACAAGGCCCGCGCCTTCTGAGAAACAGGGGTGCTTCTAAGAAGCCTTCCCCCCTCCCCCTACCCCCCTCTGCGCGCCGCCAACCTCCCCAGACCCTCGCTCCGAGGCGGGAATTTATACATGACCACCGCCTGGAGGATCAATCTTCGGGGACCTCGGCAGGCGGTGGATATGGACATCTTCGGGCCCCCGGCGGGGGCCCAAATGTATCCATATCCACCGCCCGCTGGGGCACCAGGACGTCGGTTCCCAGGCGGTGAATATGGATGAATCCCCGCCTCGCACTCGCGCTGTTGGCAAAAATCGCGACGGGAAGTTTTTTTTTTTGGGGGGGGGCCTCCTGGGGCCCTTCCCGGGTCTCGGGGCCGTCCAAAAAACGATTCAGGAAGAAAAAACGGTCCCCGGGAAGGGGTCCAGACTTTGAGGGGCACGCGATGGGGTTTCGGCTCCCAGGGTTGGAGCTGGCTGGGGTGCCCCAGCACCAGTTCCAGCCAGCAGGAAGGGCGGGCACGTTCGAGGCTCTGGGTTCTGGAAGGTTTTATCGTGTGCCGTTTTTTTCGTGTGTGTTTTTTACTGATATTTTTGTTTTTTTTGCTTTTTGCCTTCAGGGGCCGTTTTCCGGGGCCCCTGGACCGTGAAAAACGAATCTGGGGTGACAAATTGCATCAGGTGGACCCCCGGAGGGGTCCCGGGACCGATCTGAGGGGATTTGGCTTCATCCCCCCCGCCTGACCGATTTCTGGGGGTCCAAACCCGTTCAGGTCCCCTGGCCGCATCCAACTCAGGATTAAGTCGAGCATGTTTTTGTACAGCTCTACATGAGGAATGTTCAAGAACAGCAGAAAATCAGGCTGGTGACGTTTCTTCGCATTTTTGTGTATTGATTTTCTTCTGACAATGTTTTCATTGTTCTTCGCCCGTAGGAAGACATGCCCGACCTCACTCCAGGGGGCGTCCTCGGGGGGGGGGGGGCTCAGAGCTGGGGTGGCGCCCTGGGCCCCGCCGCAGACGCTGCCTGGGTCGGCGACCCGTGCGGCCTGGCCGGGTGGCACCGCCTCGATCCCTCCCTCCCTCTCCCCCGCCTCCTCCGCAGGTCCGTGGTCGACACGACCGGGGAGGAGGAGAAGCCCGCCGCGCCGCGCCCCAGCGAGGAGCTGCCCCGGGCGGCCCCCGCCTCCCTCTCCGCCGGCGACCCTTCCTGGGCGGAGGCGGGGCCGAGGCCGGGCGAGGCGAGGCGAGGCGAGGCGAGGCGGTCCGCCGCCCCGGCGGCCCTGCGAGAGCCCCGCGGTGGCGCCCGTGCGACCGTGCCCCTGCTGGCAGCCAGAGCCGAGCAGTCCCCCGATGAGACCGCCTCGCGATCGTTTTCCCGTTCACCGTTTTGCCGATCGGCGCGGGCCCTCGCACCCCGTGGCCCCTCCCCGCCGGCCGCCCCCGCCGGCGCGAGAGCCGCCGCCCAGGACGCGCTCGAGTGGCAGCCCTCGGACCGGCCCGGCCCCGCCGAGCGGCCGCTCCGCCCGGGCGGCCCCGGGCGCACAGGGAGGGAGGGGCGGATCTAGGCCTCCTGGATGGGGTCGGAGTAGATGGGGTCGGGGGGTCGTGCCGTATCGCCGATGCATCGGCGACACGGCCCGATGTGGAGCCCGATTTTCTCCACGCTGATGGCGCCGATGCCTCGCCGATGCATCGGCGATGTATTGCCGATGCATCGGCGATTTGGCGCGATCCTCCGACCCCATCTACTCAGACCCCATCTAGGAGGCCTCCAGCGGAGGGAGGACCAATCGAAACGGGGCCAGAACGAGTGTGGGCGCAGACCACAATTTTCCGTCGGCGGCGAGGCAGAGGTGAACTGCACCAGCGGTCAAGCATTCCGGGGCGGTCGAAGAGCAAATTGTC